AGAAACAGATAACCTATAGAGGAAGGCCAATCAGAATAATGGCAGACTTCTCAACACAAACCATCAAGTCAAGAAGAGCCTGGAGCAAAATATTCCAAGCCCTGAAAGAATATAACCTCCATCCCAGATTGATATATCCTGCTAAACTGTCTCTAGAAATGAATGGAGAAACAAGATGCTTCCAAGACAAAGAGGATCTTGGGAAATTTGCAAACACCAATACAACTCTACGGAGAGGGCATTCTAGAGAGAGAGAAAAGTACTAGGATTCCAGTAACAGTCCAGAGAGGCCTCAATGAATGGAACAGAAAACAGAATGAAGAAGATAAGCAGACAACTGATGGGGAAAAAAAGAGCATAACAGAAATGAGGCAGAGAAGATTTTACTCAAAATTAATTGATGATTGATAGTATCAAGTCTCAGAGTATAGGCAACTACAATGAAGATGACAAGACTCTACAATACACATTCTGATTTGATAACTGCCAGTTTTTAAAGTTCTATACTATATACAAAGTTGTGTTTTTATTAATACTGTTATATTCAATTATACTATGTCTGATGATATAGCCAATTCTATTGGAGATAACAAAAGACAACACAGGAACCATGTTAGAAATCTTTGTACAGTGGTCTTATATGTTTTTTCATTTCATGTGTTTATAGGAATATGTTTTATTTTGTCTTGCTTTATTTTGTTTCTCCCTCTAATATAGAAAGGATAGAAATAAATGTTAAGAATCATGCATGTATAGAATCTATCAACAGTTTATGAGAACTGATCTTATGACACATGATAAAATGAACAGATACTTTGAAGGAAAAAAAGACACTAAAATACCCAGTGCTGATCCTGGAGTGTCATAATGTGAAACCCAGCAATAGTATTATTCTTGTTCAGAGTGATATTAGCCTGCTTGGGTTTATTCAATCTCAACATAATTAAAGATATGGATAACTGCATGTATGTTTAAATGTATAGGATTGATAACCACATTTCTAAGTTTTTGTTGGATAGTTGAACAGAACAGGTTGCAATCTCACTGTTTGAATCCCTACTTTATATGCTCCATTTTAGTGTCTTGAATAACAATTTGTAAGAAGACAATCTGTAATAATTAATGATTTCTTATTGTTTATATTTTTTCTTTGAAATTATGTATTATCTCTACCCATTTTCTGTTTTGTTTAGTCTTTCTTTAAATTAAATTTTTAAAAAAAGATGTTACAATATCCAGTGCCAATCACAGAGTGTCATGATGTGAAATCCAGCAATATTATTATTCTTTGTTCAGAATGATTTTAACCTGCTTTAGTTTGTTTAATCTAAACATAAATGAAGATATGGATAACTGCCTGTATGTTTAAATGTATAGGACTGACAACCATGCTACTAAGTTTTTGTTTGACAGTTGAACAGAACTGTTTGCAGTCTCGCTGTTTGAATTCCCACTTTACATGTTCCATTTTTGTATCTTGAACAATTATTTGTAAAATGACAATATGTAAACATCAACTAGTGATTTCTTACTGTTTATTTTTTTCTCTGAATGTATGTATTACTTCTACCTATTTTCTGTTTTGTTTAGTCTTTCTTTAAATAAAATTTTAAAAAATCAAAACATAGTGGAGACATCCTTGTCAAACATTGACTGTGATATTCTTCCATTTTTGATTTGAAGGCTGTCTCATAGAAGCCTATTAATTATAAATTCTAGGTCAGATGTGTTTTCCTCGTATACAAGAGGTGCTAGAAAAATGAGTTCTGGCTTTTATCTTACAGAGTTGGGATTCAGAATGTGGGCCATTCCACAAATACCAGAAAGTAATTACAAAGACGGTGGGCACCACATGATAAATACCTACATCTGTGACAAGCACTGCTAGCTGTTTCCTCAGTTTCCAATCTGTCATGCTTCCTGAATGTGTTCATTTAAATTAGAGGCCCATCTTGTATCATTTTTGTGGACTGAAGTTTGACTTGACTGCTATAATTCATATATTGAAGCCCAAACCCCAATACCTGAGGATGACTTAATTTGGGGATAGCATCTTTAAGGTAGAAATTAAGTTACAATAAAGCCATTGACATGGCTCTTAATCAACGTGACCAGTTTCACTGTCAGAAGAGGAGGTTAAGACATACAGAAATGCTGGGACCTCCATCCACAAAGAAAAGCATCCATGGTGACAGGAAGAAAGCAACAATCCTGTCTGCAAGCCAGAGAATGGCCTTAGGAAAACACTAGTCCTGCAGAGACCTTAATCTCAGAGTAAAGATAACAACGTGTATTGACTGGTTATAGTTTATGAACAATTGTCCTTTCCATATACTCACAAAATAAATTACAATTATGAGAATAAAATTATTTACATTTTTTGACAATTATTCTTTCTTTATAAGGGTTGAAATAGTGGGAAAGAAGGTGTTAACCTACTTTCAATCTTTGTTCCTCACATGTGATAATATACTTCTGAGTTTGACATAACTCTCTGGTTTAAAAAGGAAAAAACAACCACCCTAGTGATTCATTACAGGCTAGTGATGGTCTTGGCAGAAGCTCAAAGTCCTTGGTGCTCAGTCAGTGGATGTGGGACAGTGGAAATGTGTAGGTGTGAAAACACAGCCAAGTGTGCTGTGGGGACAGTGAGCTGCTTGGAGGACTGGGAAGAGGGACTGCAGTCTCCCACAGTAGGTACAGGTGATCATAGCAACAGATTTCCTGTAGAAGCTGTATTTGAGCTAGTGAGATCCAACTTCTGATTGACTAGCAGGTGAGCAAAGACAGTTAAAACTTCTGGCTTTGCTCTCCAGTAACAAAAACAACAATAATAAATGCAACAAGTCAACATTTCCCAAAATCCAGAAGAATGTTTTTTTATTTGAAATATAATTCAAGTAAGAACACCTACTATTTTTAAGATAAGACTAGTAAGCACTAATTTTAAACTTAACTTGATGTTTTGTGTGTTTCAACCTGAAACATAGTATAATGATCAATAAATGTGTGTTGCATCAATTGAAAAATAGTTTCTTAAATCTCTGCTGAGGATTAAACATTTCTGGGAAACTAACTTCTGGGAACACATTAATTACAGAGATCCTGTAATGACTAACTCAGTGTATCAAATTGATTGGGCCATGGGGTACTCGTCAGTACCTATTTAGTCAAACATTCTGAATGTTTCTCTGGGGGTATTTTTTAAAAGCTTTAATATAAACAAGGAACTGAATAATAACTTTCACCCAATCAGAAAGGAAGTGCTCCCATCTGACTGCCTTTAAACTCAGAGGTCTTCCTTCTTTCTTTCCTTCCTCCCTTTGCACTCCTCTCCCCTCCCCTCCTGTCTTTCTTGTTCTCCCTTCCCCATCTCTCTTTCTCTCTCTTGCCTCAGACTTGAACTAAAACATCAGATCTTTCTGGTTACCTACGTTCATTCCACTGGCTTTCTTGGTTCTCAGGCCTTTGAACTCATACTGCAGTGACACTCTTGTCACTTTCTAATCTCTGCCTTGTTGACTGGAGATGTTTAAGTTTGATAGTTTTCATAGTTGCATTAGACAATTCCTTACAATAAATTTTTTTCATGTATATACCCATCCTACTAGTTCCATTTTTCTCAAAACCCTGACCAATATAGATGTCTTGAGTGCCATTTATACATACAATATCCACATTTTATCACTTCAATATTATAGTATATTCTAGTGTTTTAGAAACTAAGAGACATCTTGGCTATAGGAAGCAAGGCTTTATACCCAGAAGTCAGAAGTCAATTTCTAAATCAGATTAGCTGGTTGTGCTATTCTCTATATATTTAATAGTCACTTCTGATTGGTTCTGAATAAAGACAACTGTGAAGACCAGATGGAAAATGAAAGGATTTTACCCTGGATGCTACAACAGTGGGAGGCTGGGAGGTGGAACCAAGGGACTGTATCTTGAGGTCATCTTCCCCGCCCCAAGGCAATTTACCTGTGGTGCTAAATGAATTCCAATCAGCTACTTGTGCATCAGTAATGCCCCTTAGGACCACCCCAAGACCAGAGCTATATGTATGCCCCCCATACCACGTGTCCGGCAGAGAAAGCCAGGCCCCAGAAGTCATGGAATTTCTCTCCACATCTTTAAAATAAAGGTCACTTTACTTTATATTGTGTCTTCTAACCACGCCGAAAACTCTTTCATAATGGTGCCTGTGTGACTCAGGAGGCAGAGTGAGTGGCTCCTGGGAACCCCTCCCAGTTTGAGACCCCTGCCTAAGAACCACCTTTTACTTCCTCCAGGACTGTTTACTTGCTGCAGCTAATCTGCGTGCAAAGTGACCTTCCTCACTGAACACGAGTAGGCTACCACCCCGAATATTTTGTTTCCATCCTTTAGCAAGCTTGTGACAGATAAACCATCCTGCCATCCCAAACAGGGGTACCAGTTTTCACGATCTTTAGGCCACCAAGACTGGCATTTTTGTTTACTGGGATGCGCCCCGCACTCTTCGGTGACCAGGCCAAAGAGAACAGGTGTGGGTGTTCCATATCATGCCTACAAGACAGGTGACGACCTCTTTTGTTATGTGTGACCCGGAACAGCTTCCACACTCCTTGAGGGGAGCGTTATTTCCCGAGGTGAAGTTATTCTCTCAGCTCACTTATAATTCAGTCATGGGGACCACTTCCTGTGCCCCAAAAAACACACCTCTGGGGTGCCTGGTTCAAAAGGCTACCAAAAACCAAAAAGCTGATCTTTTATTTATGCTTTTATCACAATAGTGGCAGGTTGGCGAAAACTCTCCATCTTTAGGCCTTTGTTTTAAGCACGTGTCCCTCTCTCCCTCTGCCCCTCCAGGATCCCTCCCCCTCCCCACTCTTAGGAGGTGGCTCTTTTCTTTACAGCTTCTCCCCATAGCTCACACACCAAATCCCGCAGCGTTCTCAGCATTGTCCTTTCCTCCCGCCTCACCCAGTTCTCAGTCCCTCCCCTGATGCACGCCAGCTCACCTCTCCCAGAGCATGTGCGGCCAGAATGGGGGAGGTGCACATGGGACTGCGTTGGGCTGCGCACAGGCAGGGCAGGTGTGATGTGCGTGGACCGCCTGTGCAGGCTTCTCTGGACTCTCACGTGGTCCGCCAGGTCTGCGCTCCCCCTGCAGGCTCCTGCGCCTACAGAGCAGCCCCATCCCCCAGCCCCATCCTCTGAGCGCTGCTCGGCTGGGGCCAGACCCCTAGCGTGGCTCCAGGTGGCGCTGAGGAGGAGGCAAGGGGATGCAGGAGGAGAAGAGGCCAATGGCTGCTCAGCGAGGTAGCGAGGTGGGGTTAACTCTCTGAGCTAACCAGGTTCCTATTCTGGCATTCTTATTTCAAGAGATCAGATCTCTATTAATTAACCTACAAAAAGGTTCACACTAGTCTTATTTATTATTTGCAAAGTGGCCAAATATATTTGAGTGTACTCTAATTTTATAAGATGATCATCAGTCTATATATCTGTTGTTTGTTCAGTCTGTTTATAAAGTACAGATCATCTGTCCATGTTTGTCTATTTGCCTGCTCTGTAAACAGGTGTTCCTTTTATTTGAGCTCAACAATCTTTTGGGGTTTTTTTTGTTGGTGGTGGTGGTGGTGGTGGTTTTTTTTTTTTGCTTTTTTTTTTTTGCTTTTTTTGCATTTTCAAACCATTTAATCAAGGTTTATTTGGGTTATAGATTTTAAAAACATGCTTCCACCTAGTTTGCCAGTGGGTAAAAATGGTGCTAAAACTGTTTAAATAAAATCTCTTACATTGAGGAGACACTGGAAAAGATTTCAATTGAGAAACAGGAAAAGTGGCGACCTGATAATTTTACCAACTCTTGTTTATTAATCGGAGCCTCCAATAATCTCCATAGCCTTATGGGACACCTCAACTAAAGTTCATATGACCTAGATAATTCATTGTTGCTAATCAGTTGATATATTCATGCCTTCAAATCTGCTGCCTTTTTCCAGCTAAGAGTGTTAGTGTTCCAGCTAAGAGATTCAGATCAAACCAATACAAGGTCACCAGTCAAATAATAACTTATAAACAAAAATTTATGTAGTATATAATGACAAGTGTTTTCTTTTAGATCCAGGCATATGCTTAGAGATGTTTCACAAATTTCTTCAGCATTCAAATGTTAAAACACCCATTGTTAATAGCCTGTTAAGCTTACTGCCTAAAGTACACTGTATTGTAATCAATCTTCTGGATGTTCAACAAATGAAATTAAGAGATAATATAAATTCCTTTTGGATTCCTTTTCCTGGGATCTACCAGATCTTTTCCAGAAAAAAGGTTATATGATACATGCAGAACACGGAGACCAGCACTGGGGTTTGAGCCTTTCCCAGCCTATCTGCCAGCCCTGGCTTGGCCCTCTGTTGAGCCATAATTAATTCAACTGGTGTTAAATGACACTGTAGCTGATCTCTCTCTCCTAAATTAAAAAAGTAAAATTAGTAACACAGGCCATCCTCCAAAAATCAGATGGCATTAGGCATTCTAATAGCATAAGAGATACTTATATATGACAAATAAATGACATGTCAGTTCCTAAAACTCTCTGGACCTTATCCTCCTTATGGGAAGCCATTACTAAAGTTATGATCATAAATACCCTGTTGATTATATTATTTGACTCCTGCATACTTAATTGATTCTACTGATACCATCCACTGTGGGCCAGATCCCAGGACAAAAGGCTAACCTTACCCCTTATACCCCACAGAGTCCTTCTTAATATGGCTTTTCATGTTTTCAACAACAGAGATAAAAAAAAATAGGGGCTGGGGATTTAGCTCAGTGGCATAAGCACCTGCTTTGCAAGCAGGCAATCGTGAGTTCGATCTCTGGTACTGATAAAAAAAAAAACAGATTAAAAAAATAACAATCTGATCTTTTAGCAGTGACACTTGGAGCTCTGAGACAGGTAAACCGACACAAGGTGGAGCTGCCTGAGTCCCTCCTGGACCATGCTTCAAATGCAGCAAAAAGAATATTGGACAAGAAAATGCTCCAATCCTGGAGTTCCTTTGGGGCCTTGCACCTGGGCCATTAAAAGAGCAACCTTCCTAGCTGCCAGAGAGTAGGTAAGCCATCCTCCTAACTTCTAGCCCTCAGGAAATGCCATCACCACCAGATTCATCGCTGACAGATCTGCTCGGATTTACTGCTGAAGACTGATGGGGCTTAGGGCCTACAGCCCCCATTAAGGTGTCCTTCTCAGAGCCCCAAGTCCCAATAGAGGTCTCAGGTAAGACATTCTCTATACTTGTGGATTTAGAGGCCATGTATAGTGTTCTTCCTGAGTTTTCAGGCCACTATATTAAGTCCTCAGTCTCTATAGGTGGTGTTGACGGCCAACCTATGCAGCCTTATAGACAGGTCCTGTTTCATGCAGGTTCCAGACTCGCTTCTTCTCTGGTCTATCCTATAGTTTGAGATACCTCCAACCCCACCTGTGCTGCGCACACCATGCTTATTAATTTATCTCATGGATCCTTCAAGTTTTCCTTGTGTTCCCCAATATCCCTTAGCTTCCAAACATTTATAGAGACTTAAACCTATAATTAAGCGCCTTTTAGACAATGGTTTCCTTAAACCTACCCATTCACCCAATAATACTCCCATTCTCCTGGTACTCAAGTCTAATGGGTCTTACCCTCTAATACAGACTCAACAGTGCTGTTACCTAACCCTGAACCAGACACTCTGAGGTCTCAACATCTTACACCTGTTATCTCTAGTAAAACCTCTCCTCAGGGATACATAGCACCCCCTTCCTTTCCTATTCATCATTTTCTCAGGTAAAACTTTGGTCATGACTGACAGACAAATTTTACATACATGCCTTGCCACAAAACTCTCAAATATCTTCTCACCTTTGTTTGTACTTTTTCAAGATAAATAAAAGTCTTTCCCACAACCAGGGAGACTGCTGATATACTTACTAAGGTCCTATTACAGCAAATTACCCTAAGGACTACAACCAAGGTGGAGCAGTCCATACCTGGTCTTCTTGGCAACCCCAACAGCAGTCAAAATTGCTAGACTGCCATCTTATTGCCCACTCATCTCCAACTCACCAAGGCCTCACAGCCACAACTCTCAGACTAAGTCATGTTTTGTTATCCAAATTGGTTCCTAATTTCTTACATTCTATTAATTGTCCTTTTTACAACAGGACTCTCAACAGTCTTTCCTAAAGACTCCCATATCATGTGTAAGATCGTCTTCTTATTGTTCTATGTGACAACTGTCTTAATTCTCTCTACCCTCAGTTGTTTAGTCAGACATGACATCCCTAAAGGCCTAGGTTCTTACCTTCCCTATAGTGACACAGCCACAGCCATCCCCACCCTTCCTATTCTTTCCAGCTCAACTCCAAACCAGAGACAAGTCTTACCTATCTACCCTCTTAACTTGTACCCTTTCAGATGAGGGAATAATCACCTCTCATAACTTCACTTCTCCTAACCCTACACTTCTTTTTCAGAATTATACCTCACTGTGGCAATGATTCTACCTTAATATAGTCCTGATAAAATGACATATCTAAATCAAAGGCACATTTTCTTCTACCTCATCTGGGCCCTTAAATATGATAGTGTCCTGACTCCTCATAACACCTTGTCTCTTTGTTTTTCCAGTCTAATGTGTGGGCATTCACCAATGATAAAGTTGTCCTGGCTAAAATACCTGACATCAACTTCTGCATGGGCATCAACCATCATCCCATCAACCCTTCTAAACCCCAATATGGTGCCCCCTTTCAGCAGGAAATAGTAAAAGAAAGAAAAACTTTGACCTTTTTCTAATTATAAAAAGACAGAAGTGAAAGGATTTCACCCTGGATGCTCCAGCGATGGAAGGCTGGGAGGCGGAACCAAGGGGCTCTATCTTGAGATCATCTTCCCCGCCCCTAGGCAATTTACCTGTGGCACGAAATGAGTTCCAATTGGTTACTTGTGCTTCAGTAATGCCCTTTAGGCACCACCCCAGACCAAAGCTATATGTATACCCCCCACACCACGTATCTGGCAGAGAAAGTCAGACCCTGGAGGTCACGGAGTTTCTTCACATCTTTAAAATAAAGGCCACTTTACTGTATATTGTCTTCTAACCATGCTGAAAACTCTTTCAGAAAAAATATGTGGAATTATATGCCTTGAAACAATAAAGTCAACTTCCTGATAAGAATGATAAGTAAAGTCAGGCATGGTAGCATACACCTGTAATCACAGCATTCTGGAAGGTAGAGGCAGGAGGATCCAAAGTTTGAATCTAGTGTAGGCAGTGAATCTAGTGAATCAGTGATTTAGGGAGACTCTGCCTCAAAAATGAATAAATAAACAGGACTGGGATATATTCCAGTGTAAAAATCTAATGCTACACATTCACACACATACACATGCACACACACATACATCATAGATTCTGTAAATTTTACATTAATATAACTTCAATATTTTATCAAAAAATATCCCTCTAGTGAATTATATATCAAGATGGACTACAAGAAAAACATCTACTCCAATGAAGAACATGATTTATTGTTGAATTATTTTTCAGTACCTGGTATGATAATTTATGCACAAATCTATTCATTTTGATTTACTTAACTGGGTCTAGCTTATCATCTTTAAACATAACTGATAGGGTATTTTTAGGTTTAAATAAAATGTAGCAAAAAATCCCTCTCCTTCTTCTCCTTCTCATATTAAAGTCACCTTAAATTTATGTGAAGCATTTGTTTCAATTGATGGATCATTTTAAGTGATGTATCATTATTAACCAAAGTGCAAAAGACACAGTTTATTCTGTTATACCAAATGAACAATGCAGTATGAATTTACAGTATTGTATGATAGTTTCTCTTTTTTTGGGCAGGTGCTTATACTGCTGAGCTAAATCCCCAGCCAATATATGATAATTTTATTGTCCTTAAAATCTCCTGTGCTCACCCTACTCATCCTTATCTAACTCCCCTTTCCTAACATCCTGACAGTCACTGACCTTCTTTCTACATTTACAATTTTTCCCTTTGCTGCAGTGTCAGAATTGCAGTCATACAATATTCAGCTTTTTCTGATTGATTTGTTTCACTATAATTAAGATTCCTCTATATCTTTGTATGAGTCAGCTCATTTTTAAAATAAGTAATTATATTCTATTGTGTAAGAGACAACTT